AAATCTAATTCTGTCAATATCATTAGCCATCAATTATGCCTTATTCAATCCTATCAGTTTTTTTTTTAAAAAAATAAGTCATATATAGATTTAACTTAAATACTCAAATATTAATGGATCCTACGAGGTTAAAGGGTTCCCTTTTTTTTTTTAAAAAAAAAGAGAGAGTTATGAATGAGTAATAGATAAAATATTGCTCATATCCACACAATTGTCACCTCTATTTATATAAAGATGGTATAAAAATGTGTTTAGAATCATAATTTTTTATTAAAAATTATTTTTTTTATATTTTTAGATCGTTTAGAATTATTTTTTTATATTTTTAGATTGTTTAGATATGCTAATTAAAAAATAATTTAAAAAAAATAAAAAATAATATTTTAATATATTTTAAAATAAAAATACTTTGAAGCGCAATCATAATATATTTTTAAATAAAAATACTTTGAATCGCAATCGTTAACCGTTCATCATAATCTTTTTTTCTCTAAGGGAATTGGAGACTTCAATATAAGTTAAGCTAAACCTCATTGACACCTATACAATATTTTTATCGCATGTGTTTATTCATTAGTTGATGAAAAACATGTATTTATTTTGTTCTTAATTAATCATGCATTAAAATTCGCTGCATGAGCCAATTAATTAATTAATTTGTTCTTGCCGTGTTTTTCCATATTGCCTTTTCCTTTTCCTTTCTCACATGCAAACACTTTGAGCTAGCTTCAATCGCGATTAGTCAACTTGAAGATGCGTCGCAATTGATGGCTTTGTCTCTTGAAATGGCAGCATAATTTAATCGATTGCAGCACCCAAGATTTATCGCGGCAATGTCTAGCTAGATAGAGTAAATTACGGCATGCATGCTAATTAATGTACACCCTGATGTTCCTTGATGTGGTGGTTTTCTCTACTCCCACTTGTTTGTCACTACGCACGCATATGTTCAGATTATATATTCAAAGTTTCTAAAGCATCGAGGCTCTCCTTTTTCCTTGATTTTTGGTGTACAGGACTGTTGTGATATTACAACTAATATTTGTCCGGGAGACATTCTTGAAACGATGGCTACCCCCCCTGTCTTGTTCCCACATTCCCCGAGTTCAGACCAGACACCGTAAGTCCGTAAAGCGGGAGTACTGGTAATTGTTTAATCTTGAAACTAGAACGCCATCGTTGGATAGAGGACCACGAGTCGAATTCTTCTGTTATGCTTGGTCTTTCAATAAGTAAACAAATCTCTGCCTGTATAGATTAGTATATATTTAATTTCTCAGGCGAGGAGGTTAGGACTTTTATCTCCAGCAAGAGGTGTGTCGAAGGTGTGTTCTTACGCTTCATCATGACCTCAAATCACATCCGAGAAGACTTTGAAAAGTGACTCTCAATTCATTAGTTAGTTTTTATGCTCTTTACGATGCTAAGTGCTATAACTTTCAACCACAATATATTGGGCAATTAACAAGCAATACTGTCTTCGAGGAAGAAGAAGAAAAGCTATCGAAATGAGAAATATCTTAATACTTGTATTTTTCTTACGAGCCACGTTAGGGCATTTTGTCAAGGGGGCAACCTAGGCTGCCTCTCCTCACGCCAAGCACTTAATTAATTTGTAGAATAGGGCCTTTACACGTACCGCTGCTCGATCCAATATTATGAGAGGGGTCATGGGATGACTCTAGTCTTCTTTTTAGTCGATCAGCTTATCGGTGCTGAAAACTACAATCCATGCACCCGGCAGAGCTGGGTCTCTACAAGGAAAGTGAGACCTTCGGCTAGGGCCAAAGGTCCTTTTCAATTTTCTTTTCTGAATAAGGGATCAAAGCTATGTTTCAATTAGAGATTTCCTCCTTTACATGATTTGAACTCCACTGCTGTCAAGGACTACGGGGCTACATCATATATACTCTGTACAATGAAAATGAAGATCATTATTTTTAGGAAAATTACACCTAGTATCCTTCCTTGATTGAAGCTTGTTATGGAGTTTTGAAAAATTATAGTTTGTATTTTAAATTTTAATATATTGTACTTGACTTGTCCAAAAAAACAAAAAAAAATATTTAATTATTTTTGTTATAATGATGAAAATATGCCACACGTTTGATGCAAGCTATAATTTTTTAAAACTTATTAGGTAATTACAATTTCCATCAAATTATAAGATATTATAAGTAATTTTCTCATACTATATGTGAGAATTTAATATAGCCTTTTCCTATGGTTGGTAAGAAATGGAAATATTAAAACATCATATTTTCTTTATGGGATAATTACAACAAATCTCGTGTGGTCGATTTTTTTTTTTTTGCTTTGCTTTTATTTTTTTAAAAAACTAAATTTTACATCTTGAAATTTATAATTTTTTGACACTTTCCATGATCTCATAGCATGCAAAAAATATAAACAAAAAAGGCCATATTACAAAGTGCCATTATATTTCCATTAATAATAAAAAAACCTTTTTTTTACTAAACATTATAACTTTATCTTTAAATTATATATATATATATATAAATAAATTTAACATAAAATAAAAATATTTAGTCTTTGGAGAATTATTTGGCACTGTTAACATTAAACATAAAAATACAGTCATTTTGAATTATTATCTCAGGTTTATCTTAATAAACAAAATGTTTTTTTATTGAAGTCATTATATTTTTAAATAAAAATATTTTATAATTGTTAACGCTAATTAAAAAAATATGTTTATATTTTGAAAGCTAAAAATATTATAAATATGATAAAATTATGTTTAAAATCTATTTAGAAATTATAAAAATAAAAAAATGATTTTCATGAACAATTTATTTCTGATATTATTATTTTCCTATCAGACACATAATAATTAAAAAAATTATTAAAATTCCAATAAAAATTTATAATAATATTTAAAAACCATATCAAAACCAAAAAGGAAATCCATTTGATAAAGGTTTTTTTGGCGCACAAAGAAAAAACAAAATAAAAGAATAAAAATGAGTCTAGCCTATTGGCCCACCAATCATGCCTGCAAGCTTGGTTTATATATAGACACTCACACACAAATGACAAGTCATCCGTTTAAAAATAACATTGTTAATTTCGCTTGAACTTGCCACCACCGCACTCGCCAACTAATTGACGGCACATGATTATTATAAAATAATTAAAAATATATATTAAAGTGTTTTACTACTTATATTATAATGTTTTATTATTTATATAAACAGAAAATTAACATAAAACACTCCAGTTCTTTTATAATGTTGAGGTAATAATATCCCAAAATACCGTACCCGGGACTTGTAGCAAATTAGCAATTCTGAAGGTTGTTTAAACTGAAAGCATTAATTCTATTGGATGCCACTTTCTTAATAATAAAAAAAAACTACTACTAATCCCATTTTTCCGCCATTGATCGCCACTTTTTTTCTTTAATTAATGATCTCAGATTTAATATTCAAACAAGTGATACAAAGAAGAAAAGTTATATATCCATAGCCGATAAGAAAATGGCTTGTGTAGGAGAACATAGACTTGCAATATGAGCAACAAAGCAAGAAATTAAGGAAATCAAAATTATGACAGAAATATTGCCTACCTATCTAGCTAGGTATAACTGAGTTTTTCTTTTGTGAATTGGTGGCGTCCGCTGTGGTGGTTCATAATCTATGATCACCGCAGCAACCATTTGTACCTTATTCTCATCGGAGTCTATGGCTTTCTTAACACTATTGGAACCAAATCCGACTACTGTCAGTGCTCGCCTTGTGAATATCCCTACATGAACAACACATAACAATTTCTATGTAATATATTTTAGGGTAGCCCACTTAATTACTTGGAATCTTTCTTTAATTTATATATATGTTCTATTTACACTTTACATATGATCACACATCCTCACATATCAGTTGGCCAAAAAAAATGGGAAAAAGAAGATGAATGAAAGTAGCATATGTTTTACTATCAATACTGGTGTCTCCAAAAAAATGAACAAAAAAAAAAAGAATGAAAGCCTTCTAATTCTATAAGGTTGACTAAAATAAAAAATTTGAGGTCAAAATAAAAAAAAATAAAAAAAATAAAACAAACCAATGCATACTATAAATCAAGGTCGCGCCGGTTGATAAGTGTTCGTTTTGAATATAAAATGTTAGAGTTTAAATCATGACATCCGTATTTATTACCTTACCTCTAAGCAATACAATAACGAAGGATCAATTGACATCAATTAAAATTGGGCATACCTAATTATAAATTTAATAAATATTATTTGATCGTAATATTTTATTAGAATTCTATAATTTAAAATATCATTTTTTATTTAATCCTTATTGAATTAATTCATTAAAAAGAATTGATTTAATATATTTTTTATGCACATGTTATATTAGATTTGAATAAGATTTCGGATCAATACATGTTGATTGTTGATTGACCATCTTTATTATATTGTTGCTAACAAATTAATACCACTCTTTTTTGTTTTGGATCTTTCAAATCATTCCCGCAGAAGATCCGACCCTTTTTTTACGATATACCAATTCGATACAATATCTTTATGTATATAATTGCACACACCTGACACCACAGATTTCACCTCTAAAGAGTTTTACTAAATAATTATCTTCTACTTCATGCAATGTAGCTAGCTGATTAGCCCCACTTAATGCGTAGAGGCACATGCAGATAAATTCATGCATGGATCATTTGCCCTTGTCACTCTCATCATGGACAAGAGGAAAGTGATGGTTCATGAGCACCTGCTCACCTTTAACTGCCCCAGACATTCAAACCCTATAAGCTAGATCCTTCACTGCTACTCCTGCACTATACATAAAGACTCAAAAGCATTAAGCATCGTTACCTCTGTATTTGTTGCTTTAAGCGATACCACATGAGAATTAGGACACTTGAAAATCTTACTACCTTCATGTTCCATCCCTATCAGAAAAATAGTGTTTGAAAAGATACTTGATACTAATTAATGGCTATAAGAAGATAACATCAACGAGAATGATAGATTATATTATTGATTTTTCTGTACAAAAATGGGTAAGAAGTTAAGCAATATACTGGGAGACATGCTGTTGTTATAGCAAGGCAATGGCAGTAGTGAAATAACAATCCTACTAGTCTCTTAATTTCTATAAATAATAAAAACCCGTAAAGGTATATAAATAGTAGGATAGCTTCTAAAAGAAAAGACAGCTTCTCAAATTTAAAAGGACATATGAAGTTGGCCTAATGGTTAAGGACTTGCTCGAGCTGTATGGAATGAATGCATGTCTTGGGCTCAACTATTGCCGGCGCTGCTCTCGTTTTAAATAATCCCATGTTTTGCAAATGCTGCTGGCCGGCCTCGGAGTTTGGTCAGAGCATTTAGCTGGTGCAAGTAGGCTGGACGGTTTTCATGTATCCGGAGATGTAGGTGGGTACATTTTTTGGATACCTTTGTTGTCGGATAAAAATTGTGGACATAAATGCATAACATAAGATTCAAAGAGGGAGATTAATCAGTTATGAGAAGGTGTTCGTGTTCTAGGCATAGCATAATCTGATTGAAACCCAGGGATTTGATGGAGGTTCTTGTGCGGCACACGCCAAGAAACTGGAACAAGAGGCTTGATGGGATTTTGATCATGACCTGAACTTTTGGTAACTGCCTTTGAATCCTTTGATTCTTGAGTAATAATTGCAGCACCAGGAGTACTCTTTTCACTGATGTCCTCTCTGTCATTAGTTCCATGAACTGAATCCATGCTTTGTTCGACCTCCTCTCCAACCTGCACTAGATCCCAAATTAAATTTAAAACTACACGCACGCAAAGAGGGTGAAGGATATATAATCAAAGAATCAATGATACATGTTGTAGTGGGAGTGTACGTAGGACACCAACCTTGGCAGAGAAATAGACTTCTGCATGAAAACCCTCTTTCACAAACCCAATATTTCGAGCATTGCATAATGCATGCATGGAAAGAGACAAGAGAAAAATGGGAAGTAGAAAGGATTTGATGGGCATGATTAAATCTTAGAGAGCGGGAGAGTTGAAATCAAGATGAGAGTTGTTTGGTATGTGTGTGTTAACTGTTATGGGATGGGATATAGAAGACTAGCTAGCTATATATGTATTTGTATTTGTATTCAAAAGGGTTTTGTGAGGGCCAAACTGAGACGTATAAGAAGGAAATTTGAAACAGAACATGTAGAAAGAGTAATAATATGATGAGACTGAGGGAGAAAGGAAATAGCAGGGGATGCTGGCCCTTTAACCAGTCGCTTTCTCAATAGCAGTAAGGGACCTCCAACCAGTAGAGGGTAAAGTTTCTTTTTAAAGGAGAATGAAAGAACAAAATATTTGGAGTTCCATAAAATTAAACAAAAATAAAATAAAATGGCAGCACTTTGTAACATCTTTCTTGATTTATGCACGGTTTAAGAAGGCATCGTGACTTTGCTTAGTAAACTAATTAAACGGCACCCATTTTCATGTTTAACTATTATTAATAATCCGCAGTTTTAAGCACTCCCTGAACGATTTTCACCATCATCTAGATTAATAATTGAAGGATATGAATAAATAAATAATTAGGGCATGGATTGTAGTCAAAAAGCACATCTACATTTATACTTGTAAAAAAATTTATCATGGGACTAGTGGAAGAAGTCAAAGATAACAAAATGTTAGGATTTCAAAGCTGTAGAGGTAAGCTCAAATCACTACAAATTTTGTCGTCTGATCTCATGCATGTGGCTCCGTGTTTGCAGTTCTCGTCCATCATGTTACCTTACACACACACACACACACACACACACACACACACACACTACTAACATTCTAGAATTTTATATGCAATTTTACTTTCTAACTGCGTTGTGGTAATAAATTACCATGCATTGAAAATGTTGTTGTCGCTTGAACTACTTTTAAGTTACACCTATAACAATTCAACTTCCATGACATGCAAGACTAGGGACTTTCTAGGTATTAGGAAATGCGGAGAGACCTGGGCCTAAAATTAAAAAGACCTAGCTCCAAGTTTAAGAAAAATTGCGACATAAATCAGATCACACACATAAAATTATGATGGGTTTCATGTGATATAAGTGAGCATAGCTTGAATCTTGTAATAATTTCTTAAAGAGAGTTTTACAGTTGGAATCCTCCACGAAAGATGTGAGGAGACTAGAGTTGTGGCCAAGATTTGAGACATTGAGATGTCTGTCTCCCAAACTAGGTGATTGAACAGTTGGTATCATGTTACGTGTACAAGACAAATAGTCGAGGCAAGCTGTCGCAAAGCCTATATTTTTTTCAATTCGGCGCACCATAAAGTTCGCAGAGTTTGTTCCATAAACGAATTTACAGGTGGGTCTTTACGGGAACCTCACGGACCGACCAAATGTCTCTCCAATCTGAGTACCCTCAGTGAATATTCATTTACCTTGAGTAAAACATCAGAAACATCAGGGAATTGTCAAATCCTTTTACAGAAACCAATTGGTTTCCTCAAACAGAAATCTGACTAAATAGAAATGGAAGACAAATACCATTTGCCACTAGGTTGCATATGGTTGAGGCAGATTACTTGAATCATCAGCGTGGGAGTATTTGTGAAATAATAACTTGTCAACAAAGAACTATGCGGATGCAATCACAACTGGCTGCAAAATTTCGATTGAAAATTAGCAATTGATGACAAGCATTAGAGGTAAATCATTTAGTTTCCTCAGAATCTAACAAGAGCTACTTGATCAAAACAATACATATTATTCATAATTGTACACTGTGTGCAGAACCAGGCAGTACAGCTTCGCCCTTTGTAGCTTGTAGCAAATTGATTTGATGCCCTAAATTCTCTCGAGGCGCAGAGCACAAAGACCTGCCTCAATGGCTCAACCTTCCCATCTATCTATATGTATAGATTTTATTTTTCACATGAAACTGAAAACCTAGCACTACATTATGCCTTCTTCCCTCCTTTTCCCTCTCGTGTACAATGACTTGGTATGTACATATATTGAAGCTTGTGGATATTTGAAAAGGCAAAAGTGCAATGAGAAGAAAACGGTCTGGGGTGATTGGCAATGTCGTGCATGGTCCCAAACCTTCAGGGACACTCAGTACTTGGAAGAAAAGGTTGACTGCCGAGCACATGAAGCCATTACAGAGTATTCATCTCACATGTGCAGAAGATTATTTACAGTAACAGTAGCAGAATTTGTTCGCTGCAAGTCCTGCAAAGTTTGATGCATTGGAGGTTCTTAATTAAGACTACAGGATACTATAAAAAAAATGAATTGCTACGAAACATAATCCATGAAAACCAACAAAGTTGGAGTCTGGAAAATATTTTACACACTATAAAACCAATCTCCTAATTTATATAAATAAAAAAGCTCCAACCCTAATTCTTTAAATCAACATTCAAACTTGTGAACAGGTTTAAAAGTATAAATCTCATGTTATATGTTATTGAAGGCTGGCAACAGAATGGAGATGTGTTACAAAGGATCATAACAGATAGTGATGCAATGTGGAAGAAGAGGGAATCGAAGAAAGCACATAAAGGAAATGATAATGACAAGTGACAATGTGTTTGCAGACCTAGTTTGTAACTAACCACAAAACGTATACCTAAGGAACAAATGAAGAACCTGGAGACATGAAAATAAAAGAAAGTTCAAACAGAACCTGGAGTATCAACTCATCTGGAACATGGGGCAAAACCTCCCGCACTGTCTCAGCCATAGCAAGTATGTTTGCTATGAAATCACTTGTGGAGTGTGATCCAGTCCTTATATGTAAACCACCAGTGCCACCAGGGTGTCTTCCACCAGCGGCAGGAGGGGTGGAAGAGGCAGATGGAGTAGCCTGAGATGGACTCATTGGCCAAAGGCTCCAGGCAGCATCCTCGAGAGCAGATTGTGCGTAAGTTTCTCCCACAGATGCTAGATGCCTCATCATCATCTGAACTCCCCCCAGTCCAACTGATCTCATAGCCGTTGAGGGACCAACCCCATCCGCACCCTGGCCGGACCAAGGAGGTAGCCAACTTGAATCCAACCCTGCACTTCTATGGTGCAAGAAAGAGAGAGATCAAAATAATTGATGGAAACATTGGCACCAATCTTTGAAATCGAAATCTATGCAATGACCATTTGTCTTTTACTTGTGGAAAAGATTAGACAGACTCAGATGTTTGGAACTGCAATTTCAGCCAATGGCAGACTAGGATTTAAAATTTGGGTGAGCATTCCTGGTTATCATCACCTCTCTTGCCTCCATCTACTTCTTAGGTAAAAGGAAACATGCATGTGTTGGAATTTACTTTTTCTGTTTTCTTAAGCAGAAAATTTGGTTAAAGTCAACTTAAACATGGCCATTAGATCCAATAGAATATGACAGCCAGTCAGCTAAAGAGTCATCACAATGTCAGATCCCGAGCAAATCTAGATTCAAGATTTCCAATAATGCTAGAATTTATGGGTGCTCATAGAGGAACTACTGCGAGGTAACATGCTAACCATTGCTCAATTGCAGAATGGTCACTAGCTCTAAATTTCAGAAATTCCTTGACCATTTTAAGGGAAAAAATGATTGTTTTCATCTAGAAGCAGCAAGCTGTACTCATTTCTAGGCAATCAAGAGAGACTATGATGATCTAAGGTAAGGGGCCGAACCTCCAAGGGCTGCTCTCTGTAGAGTTCCGAATCTGGGTAGGGAATGCCCCATCAAGCAGTGCACGACCTGGAGTGTTTTGCCGATCAAATCCTTCATTTATTTGATGAGCAAGCTGCTCATCAGCCAGAGCTTCTCCAGTATGTGTATTTGCTTCATTTTCAGGCCTGCCTACAAAAAGTGGCTTCCGACAAGTGGGACATGAGTATATCTCATTTAAACCCTGATCCAACCTGGTAATATTGAGCACTATTCAACATTTACTAAGCATAGGAATAGCCAAATAAAATTGCTCAAAAGCAATAAGTTACAAAGTTGTACCAAGATCTCAAGCAAGCAAGATGAAAAAGGTGACTGCAAAGTAGCCTTTTGGCCTTAGCCATAGGTTCCTGTCATTACCCCGATTCATTAGACAGTTACAGTTCCAATGAAAAAAAAAAGAGCAAGATATAAGCCAACCATACCCTACAGATAGCACATTCATCATCATATGCTCGTAGCTCTTCAGATGTTGCATCAGAAAGTGCTGCATGAAGGGCATCTAAAGCCATTCTAAGCTTGATAAATCCTTTTATACGCTTTATGATAGTGCTTAGCAAAGCCTGCTCAACTTACCAGAATCAATTAATATAAAGGACATCAAATCAGTGTGTCAAAATAAACAAACTCATTCATGTTAAATAGTTCCAAAAAGAAAGTTGAGCAAAATATTTACATGTATATTAAAAAAGAGGACCGCATCCACAAGATGAAGTGCCACACCATGGAGCCACCACATATGCACATAATGACCAAGGGCCATTAACAAGGCTGCCATGTCTAGCGAAAAGCCCATATCCCGGATAAGAATGCCTTTCCACTCCAACAATGAACCTGCAACCACACTCCTTAATCAGGAAAATATCATCACATTAAATCCACTAGAAGTGTGATAAAGTGGAACAAAGTGATATAAATAAACTAGGACCACCGAACAGCATTTTTAAAATTATATTGAAACTGCCCTTAAAGACAACTTTTTATGAAAGTAATTGTTTACTTGTCATACACACACACTATCCATTACACTATTTAGAACTTCCCATTTATGCACACACAAACACATAACATAGTAATTACACACACATCCATGTGGTCTCAGTTACTAGAGGAAAAAAGTCTTTAACACGACAACAAGTTCTTGTAGTGTGTCAAGTGCAGAGAAAATGCATCCCCACCCTCCTCTTTCAAGTTCTATTTCTACCACTAGTACTAGTTCTTCACATTCACAAATACTGTTATTCCACCTACAAACTTTATACAATTGAGCAGTGCTTAATCTTTTTGATTGAGCAGAGCAAATACTTTAATTATGTTCACTGTTTTAAATTCCTAACATATCCATTGGATGTTTCAGTTGAAAAATATATCTTTGCAGTTTGGAAATTGACTTTGTTCAAGCAGCATCTTGACTTTGTGTCTGATCTCCAAGGTAAATTGCCTTAACACATACACTATAATATACTGTACATATAACAATACTGTTGCCTATCACCTGATACAATATAGGATACTGGCATTCATATAGCAGAATAAAAGTTGAGGAAGTACCTGCTCTTATTGCATCAAAAAATTTTAATCTTTGGCAATTTGCACTATTCCCAGTCGAATGATGGAGCCAAATCTCAAGCAACTGAAATCCATGAACCAGCATAGCCTACAGAGAATATAACCTAGTCAACAAGTGCTCTGTGTCTCACTAAGATTAAAATCTACGTACCATATTTACAATTTCTGTATAAAACTAGAAAAGAAGTTTTCCAGAGACATTACTTGCATGGTCTCAAAAGCAATACTGAAAGGCTCAAAGAACAACAACAGAAGCATGGATGAACCTGTGCTTCTGTATATTACATAACACATATGTATCCTGCAAACACCAAGATGATACCGAAATAAAGTGCTAGTCGGGATAAAAATTAACAGAGTCAGAAATAAACAGAAGAGAGAGAGAGAGAGAGAGAGAGCAGGCTAAATAATTCCCCCATTTGCAACCATGAGAAAAATCATGAGAATTAGTATATCACCTCCTTCCCCATTTAGACCTGTTATTTCACAAAGATA